ACACACACACACACACACACGCACACACACACACGCACACGCACACACACACACACACGAACACACACAGACAGACACACACACACATATACACACACACACACACACACACACACACACACACCTCCAAGGCCTGTGGCAAGTCCCAGTGGTAGAGAGTCACCACGGGAGTGATCCCAGCAGCTATAAGTGCGTCTATCAGTTTGTTGTAGTAGTCAATGCCGGCCTGGTTGGTGGTAGCAGGTGTCCCGTCAGCCATCACCCGAGTCCAGGCGATGGAGAAACGGTAAAAGTTCACCTGGTGATACACAACAAACCAAAGGGCGAATAGATGAATGAATGAATGAATGAATGAATGAATGAATGAATGAATGAATGAACAAATGAACGAACGATCAAAGGAATGAATGAATAAATGGATCATTTCTCTCTCCCTGTATCGTCAGGTACACAAGGCAGAGAGCAGTCGACGCCACACTTGTCTGTCCCTGCCCTCTCCAGCCATGGGCTTCTTCTTCAGTAAACACATAAAACTACGACAAACGATGGGTAATGTTAGAATAAAAATATTCCAAAACTATTTGCTCCATAGAATCGAATTATCATGTGCTAGACTAGCCACTATTTGTCCTGGTTAAAAACTGTGATGTGGTACAAAACACCAGTCTCGCTTTAGTCGAGTCCGACCACAATCTTTGCCTCTTCGCCCTTCATTTGATCCCAAAAGTAATTGGAATCAATTGACGCCCTCCGTGGTGAACTAGAATTACGTCAGAGTGCGCAGTCTAGGCTTACACAACCTAGAATGAATGAATGAATGAATGAATGAATGAACGAATGAATGAACTAACGAACAAACAAAAGAATGAATGAATAAATGAATGAATGAATGAATGAATGAATGAATGAATGAATGAATGAAGCCTATGGTTTTTACTGACCCCCAGCTGTTTGAGCATGCGCACGTCCTCCATGTACAAGTGGTAGCTGTCACAGGCCACGTCACCGGTATCGCCATTGTCCAGTCGGTTGTTGTGGGCGAATGTGTCCCAGATACTAGGGCCTTTGCCTGGGGAGGGAGGTGATGACACAAATATTTGACGGATTTCTCCATAAAGTAAAATTTCTTTATTTCATTTAGCGGGTGTTTGGAGGGCACTACTGGTATTGGTAGTCCCTACTTCTTTACTTTCCCTCTGTTGTTTCTGTATGTCTGTTTGTCTTACCTTTTCTCAGCACTAAAATGTTCATTATTTTGTCGATGTGCTCCTCTGTACCCAAACAAGCATTATAACATGTATTACTTTAAATCATTCACGAGAGTTATTCCATTACTCAAGAGGTTGCATTTCTTGTTGATGGTGGCGCCTGTAGCCTGATGGTTGGGCTACCGGACTCGCAAACGTGAGGCTGCAGATTCGGGGTTTCGAAGCTCATCTCGATTCGAATTTGTGTTTCTGGGAAAGACACTTTACACACAAATGTTTCCTATTTAGAGTGGTTCTATCAGAGATAGACGTTAAATTCGGAAGTCCAACCTCTTAATTAACCTTACCATTTCACACATTTTTTGGTCCTCCTGCTGGTGTGATGGATCTATTTATCACCATCCCCACCTCCAAATCACAGGGACCGTACTCTCTCTCTCTCTCTCTCTCTCTCTCTCTCTCCCCCTCTTCGACAGCCCAATCCTCTTTCTTTTCCCTCCCAACTGTAAGCGTGCTAATTAACTGGATGACGCAGGATCTTCAGATCTGTCACCAGAACCGATCGCCAGGTCAGCCTGTAGTAATTAGCGCGCGCCTGACATCCTATCGGCTGCGATAACCGCAACATGCTCTAGTCGCTCTCCACACAGTCAGATGGACGTGACCCGTGTGTTGTTCATCCATAGCGCCAACCTTTATCAAAGTGGGGTACTTGCTTATTCGAGCAATTCAGTTTGTTCTTCCTTTAAAAAAATTTTTTTGGGTAAGTGTTTTACGGCGCTCGCAACTGCATAAGGTCATATGAGCGCGCGGGACACACCTAATATTTTCAGTTGGTAGAAAATTTTGAATTTTGCCCGGGTGGCGGCCAAAGCCTACTCCCATCGATTTAGACCACTAAGGGATCTTAAACGTGCGCAACTTGCACATGGGCCCTCCGAGGTTTTTCACCCTCTTCGGAGAAGGCCAGGTGTAGATCCTTCCTACCAGAAGATCAGGGGTATTGCAGAAAGACAGCAGTAAGAAGGAGCCAAGGAGTAG